AGAGGAGAGCTCATACACCCCAGATTCCCTCCAAAATGGGGTGCCAGGGGGATGCAGGATCACACCAATGTATCCTGACATCCATCCCAGGAAACACAACCCCAGGCTGGCTCTACTTCTCCACACCCTGCCCAGCACCAAGAGCAGATATGGTGTTTTCTCCCATCTAAAGCTTTTTTAACATGGAATCATGGAATCACTCAGGTTGGAAAACACCCCTAAGATTATCAAGTCCAGATGTATTCCTGGCAACAAAAGCCATTACACCAGCACCAACTGGCAGCTTAGCAGCAGCCTCAGCTGAGCCCTCCCCTCAGCAGGAAACCTCACTGCCAGGATCACCCACCGCTCGGGTCTCTTCTTCTCAAGATCGTAGCGTAAGATTTGCAGAATTCTAGTTAAAGCAAAAGCTTAAAGCCCTGGAGACCAGCACGTGACACCGGGGCACGGAGGGGCTGGGAATTTCAGGGATTAAAAGCGTATTGCCGGGTTGTCCCTGGTTTTACAGCAGGGAAAACATCTCCTCTGTGCCGGGATGTCTGAGACGGAGGAAGGGGAGCCACAGGGGGCTGCAGAAAGGGGCGCAGCCCATCAGGGACCTCCGCAGCACCGAACCCACCACGCCGGGAAACCCCGGGGGGGGAAAAGAGTCACCACCCCAGATGGGACTCGAACCCACAATCCCTGGCTTAGGAGGCCAGTGCCTTATCCATTAGGCCACTGGGGCGCGCACAATTCGAATTTGTGCGTCCTCACTTAACTCTCTGATGGCCAGAGGGGAGCGCGGGCGCTCCGCATGAAGATGGGGGGTCCCGCGCAGTATTCCCAGAGCTCCCCGTTCTGAACGGCCCTCGGAGCAAAGCCCCGCTCCCCCGCCAGGCCACGCAGCCCCCTCGAACCCCGCTCCATCTCCCCCTCGAACCGCCCAGAAACGCCATCGCGGGGAGCGGGGGAGGGATGGAGACCCCCGCGCAGCCCCGCGACGCCCGCCCGGCCTCACCCCCCGCCGGAGGAGCCGCTGCCCGACGCCGTTTTTCAGTGCAATAAAGCCCCGAACCCTCCCAGAATTCCCCCCGGGAACGGGGCGCTCCCGAAGCCGTCCCTGTTCGGTCCCGACCCCGCGGGGAGCGCGGCTGTGCCGCGGCCTCGGTGGCCGAGCGGAGAAGGCCCCGGACCCCGAATGGAGGGGTCACAGGTTCGACCTCTGCCCGCGGTGTGACAGCACCCGCTGCCCCAGCTCAGCGCAGCAGCGCCTCGCAGACAGGGGCGTGTGGGGACAACCCACCAACGCCATTAACACACAGAGGGAGCTCTGCCCCTCCCTCCGCCAGTAACTCACCGAACCTGCAGTACGGAAAAGCTCGTAACTGCTCCGCCCTTTCATTTTCCCAGGAACCGGCCCCAGCTGAGTCTCAGAGACCCCCCCGCCCGGCAGCAGTTCCAAGTATTGCCTCGCCTTTGGGCAGGAATGGCTCCGGACGCGGATTTGCGAGGCAGATTCCCACCCTAAATCTGCCCTCTGCATGGGCACGTTCCCTCCACTTTGCCCCGCTGATCCCTCCCGGGGGTTCTCACCCCTCTGGGAGCCACCGCCGGGGGAAATTAAACGCCTGAAATGTCTCTCGTGGCTTTAAAACAACCACGAAGGGACTCGAACCCTCAATCTTCTGATCCGAAGTCAGACGCCTTATCCATTAGGCCACGTGGTCCCCCATAGAGGTGCAACAGGGCAGTGTCACAAACCGGGGGAGTCCCCGGGTGCCCCTGTGTGTCACCTGTACCCACCCCTGTGTCACCTGTACCCACCCCTGTGTCACCCGTGCTCATCCCTGACACCCCTGTGCATCCCCCACACTCCATCCCTTCTGGGAGTGTGGCTGTTCCTCACGGCCCAACACTGGCAATAGGGGTGTCCCCCCACGGGACTCCCTGTGCCAGAGGGTCAGTGTAAATGTGACAGTCACAGTGTCACTGAGCAGCCAGTGATGGCCTCGCTACAGTATAATAGTGTGACACCACGGACCTCATTCACCTCCTGTTTCTTATCAATGACACCTCCTCTGTTCTCCTCCCACTGCATCTCCTCTTCCCAAAACCTGTGTTTCTCATCTAATCCCAAAAAAGTTTCCCAAAACTCCACCACAGGGCAGAAAGATATTTTTAATCAGCAGTCCAGCACCCAGGGCTTTGGCAGGCTTGCTGCTTTCCAGGCAGCAGAGCCCTTTCTTCCCACACCTAAGAGAGAAAAACTACTTAGAAAGAAACTTCACTTTATGTTTTCCTCATGTGATATCACCCTGACCACAGTTGGCTTTTAAAATCCATTAACTCCATAGGAAAAGACCCTCCAAGCAGCTTTTTAATGCCACAAATCTGAGAGGGCATTATCCCGAAGGCACTTACGGGGAGGCCTTTGGTCCCAGGGCAGCACAGCCGAACGCTGTGACCCCGATGACCAGCACTTCATGGAGACGTGGTTTCTGTCAGAGTAAAACTTCCTTCCCATCCAAGCTTGTCCTGCTCCGGGAACAGGTTTGGGTAACACCTGCAAGGTGGTCATGCCCCAGCACAGATGGGCTTCTTGTTGGGACTTGGATGCAGCCGATGATATAGGGAGCACCTGGAGGGGGTAAAAGTACATCTGAAATTCCCTGTTCAGCCCTGACTCAACACAGACCCAGCTCTGCTCAGATAAAGATTATTAAACAGCTGTAATTGCTCTGCTTTGGCACCTTCTGGGACACCTTGAAGGATGTCCATCCCTCAGCCAGAACCATCCTTTCACTAATATCCCACCAAAAATCAGCCTTTCACTAACACCCCTCCAAAAATCAGCCTTTTTATTAACACCTCTCCAAAACCCATCCTTTCATCTACAGGTCCCAAGGCAAAGCTGGTTGTTATTCCCTCAGTCACAGCCTCACTTGAGCACTGGGCACGTGGGACCGCTAAACCAGTTTGTAGCTGCTCCTCATTGTTTCCCATTCCCAGGGTATCTAAATTAGGGACCACTGACCTGGAGCAGACAACTCACCTGTCAGCATCACGTGCAGCAGCTGTTGGCACAGGGAGAGAGCCTGGAGCTGCCAGGGGGATCTTGCTGCCCCAAAACACGCCATGGACCACCCCGACCTCCCTCTCTGGTGCCGTGCTCAGACTCAGTCGTTCCTCAGCACTTCTGGGTTCTCCCGGTGCATCAACCTCCTTAGCTGGCATCTCCCACCGGACTGGGGAAAGTCTTCCCACCAAGCAGCCAGAGCCAGTGCCCGCGGGGCAGGAGCAGGAGGAGGAGGAGGAGGAGGCCCGGCGGCGCTGAAACGGGGAGAAAGAGCGCGGAAATGGGGTTGGCAGCAGCAAAAGGGGAAGGCTCACCCCAGATGGGACTCGAACCCACAATCCCTGGCTTAGGAGGCCAGTGCCTTATCCATTAGGCCACTGGGGCTGCGCAGGGCGCGCGCCCCGGCCCGCGGGAACGGCCCCGACCCCGCGCCCGCCCCGGGACCACCCGCGGGACCTGCGGGATGGGGGGACCCCGGGGCCACCCCGGGGCCGGGACGGGGCCGAGCCTGGGTTCGCCTTTCCCCTTCACCCCGCGGAGGGAGAGAGACGCCAGGGGAGAAGCGGGAAAAGATAGTTTAAAAGTAAGGGGAAGGGGGGGAAAAAGCACCGACCACGAAGGGACTCGAACCCTCAATCTTCTGATCCGAAGTCAGACGCCTTATCCATTAGGCCACGCGGTCGCTGCGCTGCAGCCCCCCAGTGATGCTGCCAACGCCCGGCATCGCCCCCCGCCCCTCCCGGGTACCCTCGGAGCCCTCGGGCAGCAGCCACGCTGGGGACACGGAGGGCTGGGGGGGACACGGGGGTCCATAGGGGACACGGGGGGCTGTGGGGGACACGGGGGTCCATAGGGGACACGGGGGGCCGTGGGGGACACAAGGGGATGGCAAGGGACATGAGGGGATGGCAGGGGACATGGCTGTTGAAGGACCATCCACTGCCACAGGGAAATCTGCTTCCAGGTGGGAATCAAGTGTGGGACTTGCAGGCAGCAATTTCTGTGCTTGGACCAGTCATAGAATCTCAGAAACACGCAATATCCTGGCTTGGAAGGGATCCACGACGATCATCGAGTCCTTGTGCCCCTTATGTCTGATTCAAACCCTGTCTCAAGAGCCCACACACTTCCCACCTTCTACCTCTGACACGGAGGCCACAGTAATAAGGTGCCATCCATGACTTCCCAGCAGGACAGGACTTTTCAAGCACACAAAGATTGGAGTCACTCCCCCACAAAGGAACCATCACTTCGAGTACATGGCTGGAATGACAGTGGAAAAAGAAGGCAGAGATGGAGAGCAGGGTGGCTGAGGGAAAGACAGAAAAAACCCCCAAAATCTCTGAGACTTTCATCTTAGCAGTGAGGACTTGGAGAAGATGGTCAGGAGCACAGGAGATCAACAAGGAGGCAGAACCGGAAAATCCATGGGTGCATGAAAGGCTCAGTGCTTTGGGAAATGAGGACATGGTGTGGGGTGCTATGGAGCAGGACCGGGATCAAAGGAGAGCAGCCTCTCCTTCTCCTCCCCGGCACTCCTCATGTCACACAAGCACTAATTCTTCTTCCACTTCAGTGGACTCTCAGCAGACTCTCAGCCCTATAAATGAGACAAAATTTGCTTCTGAGTAGCTCTGGCTCCCTGCCTTTTCTTTGTGGGAATGGGCCCTTTCTTCTCCTCTCCCTCAAATTGTTGGATTTTTTTTTTAATGACCTTAGTTTTCCTTTACCACAACCAAAGGCTGCTCCCAAGAGCCAGCTGAGTGCAGCAAGCCATTAGCAAATCCTTCCTTCCAAAACATAAATTGTCTAGTTTCTATTTACAAAAATCCATCCATCATTAATAAATATCAAATCAACTTCCACATAATAAATGACGTGTTCTGGACCCGTTCATAAGACACACGGTACCATTCGCCTCCTTATTGGGGAGCAGGAGACAATGCAGCGAGTTTTGGTAGCCATCCTCACCTTTTCTCTTGGGACAGGTAAGTGCAAGAGGGGTGGAAAAGCTCCGAGGAATTCTGTGCTCCTCTAGGGATTTTTTTGGAGAAGGGATTTTTGTGTGTTAATGATGTCTCTCACATCCACACCCTTTCTCTTTTGGTGCCTCTCTCTCTCACCATTTGAGATCCTGCCTGAGATTTCTGTGTTTCAAGTGGAATTGTCTTTCTAGCAGGGACTGCTCCAAAGTACCTCTGCACCTACTATGACATTGTTGACTACCTGAACATCTCCTCTCACGACAAGCTGCACACCTACATACTGCCTAAGACAAACATGAAGGAGCCTATGGAAGTGAAGTTGGATTTCATGCTGATGGCTATTCTCTCTGTGGTAAGGAATCAAAACGAGTCTTTATAACAGAAAACTGGGCGATTGCTAGACTGGGGGTTGAGTCTTCTGCCAGCAAGGCCATGGGGATGAGAATCAGCCCCTTCCTCTTCTTCAGCTTTCTGCTGTTTGAAAGCGCTTTTGGAAGATCTGGAGTATTTTCTCCCACTCCTTCCAGGAAAAAGTTGAGAGGCACATGCAGACAAGCAGCCTACTTTGTAGCAGGCTCCAAAAACACCCTGTGGCATTCCTGAATGGAGCAATGCACTTGCAGGGCACCACCATGGAAATGTTAGCAATAATCTATTATTTTTTCCAAACCTTTGGACTGTTTGCTGCTACTCTTCAGCTGTAGGGCCAAAAACCCTGAGGTCTCCTCCCAAGCTGAGTTCCTGCACTCTGTGCTGTCCACTGCAGGAGCCACAGGGAAAAGCTTCTGGGCTCTTCGCTGGATACACCTGAGAAAATCAGCCAAATATCCTCCCTTTGTTTCTCCAGGTGGAAAAGCTCCAAACAGTCAGTTTTTACTTCGTCTTGAACCTGGTAGGTGCCTCGAGAGCGTTTCTTTCCGGTGATGCCCTTCATGACACCTGGTGCTGAGCCCAGCACCCATTTTTCTCCTGCAACTTCTTCCCCCAGGAGTGGAAAAACCCTTTTGCAACCTGGAACCCGCAGGATTTCTGTAACATTTCTCAAGTAATTCTTCCCCTGGACTCCTATTGGTCTCCCCCCATCTTCATCTTAGAGCGGTAGGTTCCCTTTTCATTTTTATCCACTGGCTTATTGTAGGAAATGGGATAAACTCATATGGCTAAAAGTTGTTCCCATGAGCTCTCTATAACCAAGAACCTCGTAGTTTAGATTAATGGTGACCACAGTTTATACGAAGCACTTTGTGGCTCTGTAATGTTGTGAGATCTCCAGAAATGCCCTTTCTTGGCTGTAGCTAAAGCTGAGGCAACAGCAGAGACCGAGAGTGCTGTGGAATAAAGTGACCCTTAGCAGTGTGTGGACAGATACAGGACAGAGCTCGAGGGTCTGACAGAGGGATGGGCAACACAAACAGTTCTCCAGAGGAGGGAAAGAGAGAGAGGCAATGAGCCCCTGCCCCAGGTGAGAATGAAAGCAGAGGGCAGAGAGGCAGGAGTTGCTTAGGAGGTGCAGAATTACAACAAACCTTAGTCCCAAGGCACTCACCAGCCCTTTTTCCAGCCCTGGCTTCCTCTCCTCACTGCTGCATCCCGTGGCTGGGTGATGGCACAGAACCCCCTGAGAGGGTGTTCACAGCCAGGGTTGGGTGGGACTGAGACACAGGCGGCATCTCAGAGCTCAGTTGCTCTCCCCTTCTGTTTCCTGCAGAGTGGACGGGCAAAACTCAGACATGAATTACATGGTCCTCATGCACAACGGCAGCTTCAACTCCACCCGGCCCTTCCAGGTCACCCTGACGTGCAGTTTGATAATCCTCAAGTTCCCCTTTGACACCCAGACGTGCAACTTGAGTATAGCTTCATTTCTCTACCCAGGTACAGCTGCAGGCTCAGTTTTACCACCTCTGGGGTGAATTTGCAGAGGGAGGAATAGATGAGATGGACCCCGGTAACTCCTGGGTTCCTGAGCAGCACCAGACTCTCACATTGCAGGGCTGAGGTCATGCAAAACCAGGGAAAATGAGTTAAAACACTGCCATTCTGTTCTGGCACATTTCCAAGCAACATCTCTGGAAGAATCTGGATGTTCTGTGGCAAGTCCCTCCCAGGATTGATCTCTGCAAATGAAGAGACCAGGAGGCTTCCTGCAAAACCACTACTTGTTCACATACAATTTTGCAGGACTGATCTTTAAACCCACCTGAAAGACATGGAAATGAGAGAAAATTAATCATAGAATTGGTAAGGTTGGAAAAGAGCTCTAGGCTCATCGAATCCAACTATTAAAAGGACAGTTTCAGTAATCCAAACTGCAGTCAGAGTTATCCCAACAGGAAGGGTTGAAATATAAGCAGAGGTGACATAAAACCCACCAGGTCCCATCCAAAAAAAGACAACAGTCCTGACTTACCAGGGACTTCCCCCCAGATTCACATTCCCGGCCAAGACTCTTTCCCAGAGTCTTTTTTAATTTCTCCCTGACGGGCTAAGAAACCTCAGCAATGCAAGAAACATTGCCCTTCCCCATCTGCACCCACCCTCTGTTGGGTGGGACAGGGAAAGGAATAACTGACCTCTAACAAATATTGAAATTCTGCAACTTCTCCCCTCCTCTGCTCCTGTCCAAGCAGTAAGAGAGATTGTCATGAAGACAAGACGGACAGCATCTGAGAGCATGAAAGAGAGCCAGAGTTTCTTCCTAACTGATGGAGAATGGAAGTTCACCAATCTGAGCATCATTGAACGCACGGAAGTAGTGGATGATGAAGGATTTTCTGTGATCACCTACATGGTATGGCAGCGTTTTTGTATTATATTGCACTGATTTCCCACAAAAAAAGAAAAAGACAATTTTTTACATTAGGGAACCAGCATTTGCCAGCACAGTAAGTTACCTCCTGCTCACCTAAATTTTGCCCACCTTCTTCAACAGATTTCCATGGAGAGACGACCCACTCTGTACATTCTGAACCTGATCCTCCCAACGTGTGCCCTGTACCTGCTGGACATGGCTGTGTTGTTTGGACCCAGCTCTCTCGAGGAGAAAATCAACTTCCAGATCGCCATCATCCTTGGCAGCTCCATGCTGGCTGTGATCCTCAACAACAGCCTCCCAACTTCCTCCAACAAACCCCCTGTAATAGGTACCCATCTTTATCAAATCAAAACTGGTCTTTACACAGGTACTTGCCCTAAGGAAGAGTGTTTATAGACACATTTATGAACACTGCAGTCATGGACAGCTAAGAGTTTATCAACTTCTGGAGTTACTTTCCCCATTCCCCACCAGGCAACTGAAGCAGACAGGATTATGTAAGAAAATGCCAATTATCCAGGGCTTTCTCTTGTTTTCCTGCTGTTCTGCAGTGCTGTTCTTCCTGGGCACCTTCCTGCTCATGATCATGGCTGTGTTAGACACCTTCTTCCTGCTGTACCAGCAGCGCAAATCCCGGCCCTTGGACAAGGTTCTCAGAAGATTCCAGCGACGCAAAACAACCCAGAACCTCTTTAACAAAGCAGGTTTGGTGCATTTCACTGCAGGTTTGTTTGAGCCAGGGTGGGTTTGCTCAGGGCAAGCAGTGCCCCAGCTGTGGTGGCCCCACCAGCCCCCCCTGTGCTGACACTGCTCTTTGCTCCCTGCAGACGTGGGTGCCGAGCTGGCCAAGACACCCCTGCGCAACCAGCCCGTGACACACCTGGCCAAGGAAGGTCTCCAGCATCTGAGCCCTCCCAAGAAGGCCCAGGGAGGAGGGCAACCTGCCAAGGGCCACTGGCGACCACAGGAGCAGAACTCGTTTATGCCAGTTCTGGAGAAGGTCCTTCTCTACAGCCACTTCTTCCTGTCCCTGGTTTTTTTCACTCTTATTTCTGTAAAATGGAGCAGCTAAAGGCCAGCTCTGCACAGTGCTAGTTCAGTTGTTCCCCACTGTATCACTTCTGACCCCTCTGCTGTAGTTTGTTCTTGCTTGAATCACAGAGCTGCAGTTGTTTCGGATGCCTAAATAAAATTAAAACCCAAACCCACAAGGCCTGAGGTCTGCATTTGTAGTGCTTTGTACTCTGGTTCAGTAGAACTACAGATGTTTCTACTGTGGGCTAGCAAGGTATTTGAATAGAACAATTGTGAAATCTGGGGTAACACCTTCACTCTACCCATCTATAACTCTTACCTCAAACATGACCAACAGGAAAAGCAGTTGATTTCCTGCTCTTTGAGATACTTACATTTTGGGGAAAGGTGTTCAAGAATTCCACCTCAGATAATTAAATAAAACAATGTAAGTCTGAAGTGTTTGTACTATTGTTTCTGTGAGTTCCAGTGAGATCAGCAGCATTCGGAAAACCACGACAGAGAGAATAATAAGATCACCAGAATTAAATGTTTTTAAAAAGTAACTACAAGATAACTTTTCTTTATATGCATCTGAGCATATCAACACTCCTTCAGCTCCTGGTGCAAATGGCTTCTCCCAAACAATCACAACCAGCCTAGAAAATGGTCCTATACGTCTGTCTGTAGAACTCCTGAGACACTCCAGACAAACACAGATCACTGCTAAACACACTCCAGCATCCCAAAAAGCTTCTCCCATTCAACTTCTAAGCAACTGTCCGCTTGCAAGGCCAGGAGAACTCCATTCCCTGTGGTTACACAGAGGGACAAAGGGTTTATTTGCCTTACAGAGGATGTGACAAGACTCAGTTTGATGAGCAGGTAAGGGTGGGATCTTGGTCCTTGCTACAAAAGCAAGCTCACAAGTAGAAAAGAAAAAATTGAGGAAAAGTGGGATATTTGCAAGTTGGCATATTGCTCCACATTTCTCAAAACTCATGTCTAAGATCTAAGCCACAGACAGGAGGGAAAGCTCTTTATTTATAAGATCATCGAGTCTGACAGTCGTTGAACAGCTCCCAGACTGGTTTACAGATCAGCAATGGGCTTGTGGGGCCAGTATGGGTATTTCTCCTTGTCCAGTTTGGTTTCAGGGAAGGCTTCATGCAAGTCTTCAAACGTCATCTGCTCAAAGGGAATCATGCTCTTGAGCTTCTGGAGCTGCAGTGGAAGCAGAGACAGGCACGTTACAAGTCACTGCTCAGCAAGAAGGAGCAGAGCACACACAGGTGAGAACAAGGGGTGTGCCAGGGTGGGTTACAGACAATATTCCCCGAGGAAGGTCCAGCCTCACCTGTTGCTCATACTGGGCAATCCGAGCTTTGGAAGCCTGAACATACTCAGCAGTGCTCTTGGCCTGAGGAAAGCAGAGGATGTGGTGAATGGGGTTGTGATGATGACAGTGACCCAGGGTGAACCTGCACCCTCGTGCTTTAAACTGGCATTAAAATCCACCATCATTACACTGGGTAAGTGAGAGAATCTCAATCAAATCCCAAACAGCCAAACCCTTCCCTGTGCAGAGATGCCCTTGCTAAGCTGAAAGCCAGAGACAGACACCAGTGAAGGGCAGAGCTGTGCTCTGGCTCAGGCTCTGCTCTGGCTCAGGCTGTGCCTGTGAAGGCACATCTAGGACATCCCTTCCCACCTCACAGAAGGCAGAGTAAACCCCAGCACTAGGGAATGGTTCAAACACTTACAGCTTCCTTCTCCTGGGCATCAATCTTGGCACTTTGGGTATCCACTGGCTCAGGAACCTTCAGTGCACTGAACTGTAAATTGAAAGAGAAGCTTTTATAAGGTTTGTTTGATTGAGATAATCATTCACACCGAGAATATGCAGCATTCCCTCCTTTCTTCCCAGGATTTGCCCACAACCATGTAGGTTAATGAGCTAAAGCTGATCAGTGCAGCTGTCCCATGACCCTCCCAGGCAGCACCGCTCATCCAGGAGCTTCCAGCCTTCTCCTCTGTCCTGCCCACCACCCTTATGACACCCAATACCACACATTCATCACAGCACCGTAAGGGAGCAGGAAGGTCTAACACCAAAGATTTTTCCTATCACAGACTTATTTCCCCCAGGACAAAGCTCTCAGACCCATCTGAGGTCAGTGGGTGCTCCCAGTTTTGGAAAGCAAATTTTCACAGTGACAAAACCAAATTCTTCTGCCAATCCTGGTGTTTTCCTCTCAACACCACCCAATGAAACCTCTAGAGAGGTTGCTCCAGCTGGCAAAGAGACTGACCTTCTTCTGAAACTCATCCACCATGCCAGCCTTGGCAACATTAGCCTTGTAGAAAGCCCAGTCGATGGCCGGAGGCTTCTCTGGCAGCGCTGCCAACCTGAAGGGATGGAGGACAACAGACATGAGCACTGACCTGAGAGCCAGGAGAGCCTGCTGAGTTTAGTTTAAATATTTCTGGGTTTGCCATCAACAAGCCATTTCTGCAAGTCCCTCTGCCCTTGGAACAGGCTTCTTTGGACAGAGAACTCAGCCCGCTGCTCTGCCCTGCTTCACTCAGCACCTCTGAAGCTCCCTGAAGGACAGAGGGGGCAGTTTCACAACACTGAGCCTCAGGCAATCAGCAACATCAATTGCAGTAGTCACCCGTATCAGGCAGTGGACGCTGAAGGATTTGAAAACTAAGGATTCAAGAACTGCACGTGAATCCTTACAGCACTTAACAGAATAACAAAGCTCCTAAAATGTCCTAAACGCGCCAAAGCAAAGCGCTCTCGCGAACCCACAGCCACGGGTTTACCCTGGGGAAGATTAACTAAAGATGATTTGCCAAAAAAAGCCACCGGCTGCCTCAAGGTGACCTGCTTTAATACCTGCTGGGACGCTCCTGCGGGACCACAGACAGCGTCAGTCCCGGCACTCACACCGGGGCTGTGCCGGGGGCTGAGCGGCCCGGGAGGAGCGGGGCGGGCTCTCCCGGGGCCGGGCGGGCACTCACCGGGCAGTCAGGGCGTCGTTGCGGGTCTTGAGCGCGTTGTACATGGGCCGCTGGTTCGGGGGGACCCGCTCGGCGAAGGCCGCCCAGTCCACGGCCTTGAGAGCAGCTCTGCGACCCGCCATGGTGAGACCTGGGCAGGGACACGGCGGTGGGAACGGGGACGGGGGGACACCGGGGATGGGGACACGGGGGGATCGGGGCACTGGGGGTGGGGGGACGAGAGGGCTGGGGCTCGACAGGACCGGGACACTAGGGATGAGGACGCGGTGGGGATGAGGACACGAGGGGGATTGGGACACGGGGTGAACGGGGACACTGAGGATGGGGACATGGTGGGATCGGGACATAGAGTGAATGAGGACACTGGGGATGGCGATGGGGACACGGGGGGGATCAGGACGGAGGGGTCGGGGTACTGGGGTTAACGGCGACATGGAGGGGATTGGGACACCGTGGAATGTGGACACGGCGGGATGGGGGCATGGAAGGGATAGGGAACATGGAGGGACGGGGACATGGTGGGGATGAGGACACGGGGGAATGGGAGCACGGGGGGCACTGGGGCCGCTCTTCAGCCCCGCCGGGACCTCACACCGCTCCCCACCCCCCCACCTTCACCGGCCCCCCAAGCCGCAGGCCCTGCCCGTTCCCGTTCCCCTCGCAGTCCCGGCGGTGCCGGGTCCCCTTTCCCCCCGTTCCCGTTTCCCGGCAGTACCGGGTCCCCTCTCTCACCTTCACCGTCCGACCCCGCCGCGCGCGCCGCCGGAAGCCCCGCCCCCGTCCCACCCCGCAGCCCAATCAGCGCGCGGCCCCGCCGGAATCCCTCCGCGCCCCCCGGAAGTGTCGCGCGCGGACGCGGCGATGGCGGCGGGCGGGCGCTGAGGTTCCGCCATGGCCGAGGGGCCGCCGAGGGGCCGCACGCCCAGCCCGGGCCCGGGGGGGGCCCCGGGGCCGCCCAGCCCGCGCGCGGCCGGGCCCGCAGGGGCGCCGAACCCGCCCGCCGCCAACGCCACCGCCGCCGCCTCCAAGTGGGTGCGGCTGAACGTGGGCGGCACGTACTTCGTGAGCACCCGGCAGACGCTGTGCCGGGAGCCCAAGTCCTTCCTGTGCCGCCTCTGCTGCCAGGACGGGCCCGAGCTCGGCTCCGACAAGGTGAGGCCGCGGCAGTGACACCGGGACAGCCCCTCCTCGACCCGCCACGGCCGCCAGTGTCACCGTCCCACGGGCGAGGTGACACCCCTGGCAGCCGGTGTCACCCGGGGCAGCGCCCCCGGGGCCGTGCGGGTCCGGACCCCGCCGTGTGGATGGGCCCATCTGCACAGCAGCCCCCCGGTCCCACACGTCACTCTGTCACACACCATCTGCTTGTCCCTCGCATTCCACGGTCATGAAGCTTGTGGCATCCCCAAAATCCTCGTCACCCTCGTGCCTGTGACACGCAGGTTCCACATGTTCTGGTCCCTCCACCTCCCACGGTGACTCCAGCCAGCAGCTTCCCACAGTGTTGCTGCTTCCCACTGTAACAGTGGTTACAGAAGCAGGGATTTTATGATTTCTCACCCTGAGCATGTCTATGGTTCTTTTTTGAATGTCTTTCACTTTGCTCCCATAAAAGATCACGGTGCACATTCCTGGATAGTTTTGAGGTCGCTGCAGTTTGTCAGAAGGATTTTGTGAACTGTTATTCCTGTAATTTGCAGGTTTTCCCCAGGATCTGCTACACAAAATGTTGTAAATATGTCGTGGGTGGTTCAGACTGAATTAGTCAGGTCTGTTGCTGCTCCATTCAGAGTTTAATCAAAAGATATCTCCTGGTAGTTTGATCACAATCAGCAGCATCATTAAGGAGAGGAGGTGACACTTCAGAGTGGGTTTGCACAGTTGTTGCTTTAGAGCAGATTGGCAGGAGAAATGTTGTTTACAGTGATCTAAGAGAGGGATATGAATTCTGCACAGGGTTTGTCAGTGCTTCAGAGCTGCTCAAGAGATGCTTTCAGCTGTGAATTATGAGTTATTTAATGCCAGTAGTTGTTGTGTTGCTGGAGATGTGGCTGGAGCTTTCCAATGTGTGTTTGCAGAGTGGAAAGTTAAAACTGAACTACTTTAGCTGTCAAGTGCCCTTAGCTGGAACTGGAAATCCCATTTTCTTGCAGAGCCCCCTGGTTAAACCAGGCTGGAGAACAAATTTAGGCAGAACTCAACTGCCAGCTTTTGGTTCTTATTATTGCAGTGAAGAAAAAACTAAGCCCTCCTTTTCTGTCTGGGTGTACCAGCCCTGTCTGCACAAGTGCTTCGTGTGCGGCATCTCCCGGAGCTGCTGAGCTGTGACATTGGTCGTTCAGATACTGAAAAAGAAAAACGTTGGTTTAAATGTGGCATCATTCCTACACCTCCCACAGGCAGATGAATCCAGGTCCTCAAAGGGAAGCTGTTCAGTTTATCGTGTTAAGCTGAGTTAACTTGTCCTGGTACCACTGAACCCTCCCTTTGTTCCTCAGGATGAGACGGGGGCGTATCTCATCGACAGAGACCCCACGTACTTTGGCCCGATACTGAACTACCTCCGGCACGGGAAGCTCATCATAAACAAGGAGCTTGCAGAGGAAGGTAAGAGAAAAACACCAGGAAAAACTGTAAATGCTTTTGGACAGCTCATCCAAGAGCCCTCACCAGAGACCAGCCCCAGTGCACAGAGTTCCTGCCCTGCCGAGGGGCGAGCGACCACGTTCCCCAGGGATGCTGTTAGTTAGTACTGTTAACTGCTCATTAACAGGGATTGAACCATCAGATCCCATGTCTTCCCAGAAGCTGCAGCTCACAGCACACCCTGGCACTGTCCTGCTGAGCCCAAGGTCTGTCACAGCCCATCTCCCTCTCACAGACTGTGGTTCTCCCCGAGCAGGCAGCTCTGGGGGCTTTCCCTTAATGGGGCTGGGTGAATAAAATCCTGTACCACGAGGTTTCTGATAATCCCAGGGAAAGGGGAATAATTTTCCTTAAAGATCCTCTAAGTCACAAAGGGAGGTGACAGCTAGTCAGGCATTTTCTCTCAGCCTGGGAGCTGGGAGATGGCTGGCACAGTCTGTTCAGCATTTGGGATTCTCACATCTTGGCTGGATTTGGAGTCGGGAGCAGGTGTTGCCATCCTTGTAGCAGAATCATCTTCATTCTACCCTGTGCAAAGTAACAGTTTGTCTCTGCTTTGGGTTCCTCTGCCAGGGGTGCTGGAAGAAGCTGAGTTTTACAACATCGCGTCCCTCGTGCGGCTGGTGAAGGAGCGGATACGGGACAACGAGAACAGGACCTCTCAAGTAATGCACTTTGGGGTTGTGGAGTCAGTCAGGTCTGGAGCACAGAAAGACAAGTGTGGGTGCAGACTCTGCAGTAGCAGCTCTTTGGTTCAGCAGTAACAGGGGGATAAGAGCTGTGAGGTGGATCCAGGGCACGGCTAGGAAAGAGTGTCCATTATGGCTTTTTAAAGCACAGACCACTGAGTCATCTCATAGCAGTGTAGGGAAAGGCAAGGGACAGTTACACGGGAGGGTCCAGGACAGAGATGGGTGGTTATAAAGCAAAACATACTGCTTTGGTAAAGAATAGCTCAAACTCTTTCTTTAAAACATTTTTTCCCTTTAAATCTGTCTTCTTGTGGCAGTTTTCCTGTTGATGCTCAGCTGATATTAACACACCCAGTAGATTCAATTTCAGAAATGTTTTCAAAAAGCAGCAAGTGGCTTTGAAAGCCAAAGAAGATTTGCTTTCCCTGGCCCTTAGACACCTAGAAAGCTTTTAAGAGAAGCGTGCCAGCCAAATGTGTATGTTTTGAAATTGGTGGGATGAAATCTCAGAAAGTCTGTGGGGCTCTGAATTCCTCAGTAAGACAAGAGCAGGAGAAGCTTATGAACTTCTGGCTTGACAGTACAGTAATTACTAAACTACAGTAATTACTCCCCATGCTCTAGGGACCTGTGAAGCATGTGTACAGAGTCCTGCAGTGCCAAGAGGAAGAGCTCACACAGATGGTGTCCACCATGTCCGATGGGTGGAAGTTCGAACAGGTACGGTTACCAAAGAGTGGCAGATTTGAAAGCTGGATATGGAATAAGCAGAGTTTACTGTTGAATTGCACTTCACCCTGCTCTGCTCTTCTGAATAAGCAGCCTGACCTGGGCAGTGCACTTATGTCCAGTCACTGACAGGGAAGGGCAGAGGTCACTCAAACTGCCAAGTGAGATTTAGTTTTCTCTTGGGACTTCTTGTATCCTTGTCAAATCCCAGAGAAATTCTTCCCTTCTGCATTTCATCACATACACCAGGCCCTGGTACAACAGTTTTATCCAGGAAAATTACTAGAGCTGTGAAAAACCACAGCATGACTTTTCTGGAAGCTCAAAGCCACAACTCTTGCATTTGCTAAAGAGGCACTGAGTGTGATGAGAACTTCCTGCAGATGCCTTTGCAATGCAGCTGGTTTTGGGGCTGGGTGTCACTGCAGTTGCATATGGTGTTAGTTCCAGATTTGGTTTCTAGAATCAAACACAGATCTCTCATTTCTGAGGAGAGAGGACTGGAAGCCAGCTGGCCTGCATGTTACTCCTCTATTAAGAAACTGTATTAAGAATAGGCTCTGTGGATTTCAGCAGTGTCTTCCCGATGTTGTGGGAGATGTGCTGACACAAAGCAAGACAGAGGATTAGGAAAAGCACTTTGCATCTCTTGTTCCTATGGATCTGTTCTGTAATGCCTGAAAACTCCTATTCCACAGTGGAGAGGCAGCCAAAAGCTTGCCCTGTGAGCCAGCAGTGAAACCTTGTGACCAAGAGCCACTCACTGCTCCATGGAAATGCAGTTCTCCAACACCCAGGTTTTGCTGCCCAACAATTTACTTACCATAATTTGCCTTTCACACATCCATGTATACACCCCCAAACCCTCGAGGCTGCAGGCAGTGCCCTTCATGGGAATCTGCACCCTCAGATCTCTCCTAATCTTCCTTTTCAAGGAAAAGATACCCATTACAGGCAAATGCTGGTGTGTTCCTTCCAGTTCTCTCCCTCTTCCATTCACAACCTTTGCACAAACCACTGAGATCCCTTCCTGTCCACCACAGGCACCAGGAAAACTTCCTGCACCTCCCACTCCAGCCCACTCCCACCATCGGGAGCTGCTCTTGCCCTCCCCAGGACTTGCATCCAGCTCAGCCCCCTCCAAGGGCAGCAGCCTGAACAGGACAGACACAGTGCTTTGGTTAGGGCTCACAGAGCTGTGAGAGGGCCCAGACTGGGTCACAGAGCAGGGACAGGGAAGTGATGCAGCCTGGGATATGTCCCATGCTGAACTGGGCCCTGCTCAAAGCCTGGGCCTGCTGCCACAGTCTTTCCCAAAATGTGCAACCCAGCACAGCTTCTCCCCTCCCCAAACCACAGCACTTGGCAGGCAGAGACATGTTAGGAAAGACTGCAACAGATCTACAGACTGG